GGCGCTGTGTAGAATTGAGAAATAATTTCTGAGTTGTTAGAAGCCCCCACCTCTATAGGTGGTGGGTAGTTCACTATTGTACTACTATCTCTCCCCTCCCATGCCGAAAAAAACAGCAGAAAGATTTATACCCTTTACACTTTTTTTAGTGTGTTGGCTCAGTTATTCGTTATTAGCAATATGATGTCAAGTCAATGCTTCCTTGCATGTGAAAAAAGAGCATTACCACGAAGGCAAAAGAATGAATAATTGTTTTGAGTGTCAAGCTTTTTTTGCTCATTTTTTAGCATTCACCCTAAATGCCTGACTTTTCCTGATTATTTCTTTTTATGTTTATAAACAATTTCAGTAATCAGAAGCACTAGATTCTTGGCCAAAACGACCGCAACTCCTAGTTTTGTCTATGGCAAGCAGACAGACTAATCGGGTAATAGGAAAATTTTTAGCAATTACTATCTTTTCATAATTAATGTCTGCTTCTTATCTTTTAGTAATTTGTTATTTAATTGAGAAAAAAACCAGACAAAAGTGAAAAAGGTAGTATCATATATTACAAAGTTAAAAATTAAATGGTTAGTATTTTAAATCTCTAACTTCTTATTACTAGGAAATTAAAGGGAATGATTGACTGATATTAATTATTAGCATGAGTAATAGTATAAACCAAAATGTAAGGTAATATTGCAATGCAAAATAGGTATCAGTATTTTTTTTGCTAAACTCTCTTAAATATTAAGAATATCAAGGGTTAAAAGCAGATTGAACTGTCATTAGTGATGAGTATAATTTCTTTTGTTGGGTAATTATTGGGTAAAATGAGATTATATGTCGCTGCTAAAAAAAATTATTGCCAACCTTACCAAGGAACACGGAGAAGGAGTTATTACTACCTTAGATGCTAGCAAAGAGCACGAAAGAAAGGTTTTATCAACCGGAAGTTGCTTGTTAGACCAAGCTATCGGCACCGGCGGTTACGTGGAAGGAAAAATAGTAGAAATTTTTGGTTTGGAATCCAGTGGCAAAAGCACTTTGGCTTTGCACGCAGTTGCCGAATGCCAAAAATTAGGAAAAGTAGCGGTTTACATTGATTTAGAAAACGGATTAGATAAGAATTATGCCACTAATCTGGGGGTAAAAGGCGAAGAATTAGGAATTGTCTCTCCGCGGG